AGACAGACTAATAAATGGTTGCTCAAACATCTGTGAATGAAACAAAACTCAAATCCAGGTTTGTTTTTTGAGGAGGTGACATTATAAAATGGCTTGAAGCTCACAAGAGTCAATAAAAACACCTGCTACTAAATCAATGCAAGACCCACAGTTTTGATCTGATTTGCCTCCATGAAGACAGAAAGGTTGAATACTACACTGCACAGATGGGACCAAGTCGTTGTTTTGCAAGTCTCAAGTAAGTCTCAAGTACGAGTCAAGTCCCAAGTCAAAGACTGGCAAGTCCAAGTCGAGTCTCGAGTCACTGGCCCGTAAGTCCGAGTCAAGTCCAAATCGTCTGCTTTGAGCTTCAAGTCATTTCAAGTCTTTAAACCAAAGCAACAAATAAAGCTTAGCTTTTTGCAATTTACATGAATTTTAAGTTAAATTGTACTTAAAAAGTCATGGCATATTTATATGAGTATTTATATGAGTTATAGAAATGCAAATTTTTCCTTTTTAAATGTCTTGACAAGATCTTAGTGCAAATCATTACTGTCAAAATAGAAAGAATTCAGATTTAAAAGTGCTTAATAACAGTTATTTTGTCATGTACTCTGCACTGAAATGGAAGGATCAGGTTCTATGTAGTTCCCACTGTTTTACTGTGCTGTACTGCATATTACTGTAGTACATTTGAGGACACCATATCACAGTACTTCAGTTACTGTTGCCATAGTAACAAATAGAGAAGTGGGAGGGACATGTTCCAGTTTATTCCTGTAAAATGAAGCACTGAATGTAACAACTGTAAGTAGAATAGTATTTTCTAAAAACATATACATAGTTTAGGAGAAGCATTAAGTCTTCAAGTCCCAAGTCATTGACCTTCAAGTCCAAGTCGAGCCCCAAGTCTTAGTCCATTTTATCAAGTCAAGTCTCAAGTCTTAAAAATTGTGACTCAAGTCTGACTCGAGTCCAAGTCACGACCTGCAAATCCCAACAGGACCGAAATGTAACTTGGTTTGGTTTGGTCTCCATGAAGATAGAAAGGTTTAATGCCATACTGTGAAACATTCAAGACAAAGCAATAACACCTGCATGGAGAAAATGTATGCTGAACTGAAAGAGGATGGAGAGGATAGAGTTAACTGACAGACACTTTTCCTTAGCTTCTGATAGACTTTGTAGACTTTGTTTGTTGGAAAACTCCTCAGAACCATATTACATCATCTCTCCCCGTCGTCTGCTTTGACCCATTGATTTTATGAAAGCCTCCTTTAATTAACTGGTGCCTCTCCAAATGGTGTCACCTTCCACTGCGTTAATGAGACAATTAGCGCGTTTGATTTGGTCCTGGCTAAAAGGATTCAAGTGTCTCCTAATGACAGATCTTACAGGGACTTAGCATTGTTCAGGCCAAAGTCTGTCTGATGACTGCGGCAATCCAGCGAAGCACAGCGACGCTCAATATCTCACAGCACAAACATAATTAGACGGAGGAAAGAGAAACCAGACTTTTCAAGAAATATTTGGGAGATGACAGAAATATTGGTTCAAACGCACAAAACAGATCAAAAAATCTAAATCAATAAGCCGTTTATAGTTAAGAATGAAAAAGTCATCTGGAAAAAGTACAAGAAGAAAAGGAATGAATTGTAACTTACAAAAAAGTGTTATGTATTGGTTGTTTGTGTAATTACCACAATGACAAACTACTTTTAGATTTTAAAATGTAAAAATATTATGATCTAAAATGTGTCTATAATTACCGTATTTTTTGGACTATAAGATGCACCAGCCAAAAAAAATGCATAATGAAGAAGAAAAAAAACATTTATAAGTTGCACCAGACTATAAGTCTCACTTTTTGGGGGAAATATATTTTATAAAATCAGAGATCAGGAGCTGACATTTTATCTTGAAAGGCAAGTTCTAGTAATAACAATAGAACAACAGGCTGTTAACGTAACAGAACAGAACAAGTTTACCAAACTCTCGATCTCACTCCAAATCACTAAATCCACTGAATTCTTCATCCTCAGTGTCACTTCTGAGCAACTCGCAACCTCCGGAGGTAAACAGAGCACTGCTTTTTTTTCTGCGTAGCTGTCGTCAGACTCAGCATCAGTTCCAGTTAGAACTAGTCTTTCTGAATCCCGACAGGATGGTTTTGGTGTCACTGAAGTCCAGGCTTTGTCGATCCATCCAAAGACTTCGAGGAGGGTTGCATGTCGCATCCTCCTGGTGTCACAAGTTTCTCACTCACTCCAAACTTTCTTTCTGCTGCTTGATTACTGTTTTCGGCTGCATTTTTCACTACTTGCAACTTCTAATCTGCAAAATATGTTTTTCTTTTGGGGGCATTTGTGTTCAGTCTTCTCAGTTGTCTTTACAAGTTTGTTTAAATTGTACAGAAGTAATGGTGCGATCGACTGACATGATACAGACAGGACAGTGGCTCTTTCTACAGGAGACATGCGCAGTAGAGTGAAGTGACAGTGAAGTGAAGTGACAGTGGTACAGGAGTAACAGGATGGTTTCAGTTGTCTTTATAAGTTTGTTTAAATTTTATATTTTCAGTAGTACAGAAGCAATGGTGCGATCGATTGACATTATACAGACAGGACAGCGGCTCTTTCTGCAGGAGACATGCACAGTAGAGTGAAGTGACAGTGGTACAGGAGTAATAGGAGCAGCAGATACTGACACACAAGCCTAGAGCCTCTTGCGACTGTCAGTGTGAAAATTTTAATATATAAGTCGCACCGGAGTATAAGTTGCAAGACCACCCAAACCATGAAAAAAATGCGACTTACAGTCCGAAAAATATGGTACTAAGGAAAGCTAAATTGTTTACTAATTATTTATTATTAACAAGTCTGTTGTTCAGTTCTTGCTACAATTCTTATTCCCATAGGCCTATGTGTCACTGAGAGAGACACTTTTGCAGCATTGTTTAATTAATGCGATTAAGTAATTTCCCTTGTGGATCAATAAAGTTTGTCTAAGTCTAGTGGCTGGATATTTAATACAGTACATTTTCTAAGTCTCTACAAAACTGCAAACCCTGTAGTTTAAACCTCTACAAACATGTGGCCAAACCTCCTCAAAGCCTGAACTCAAAAGCCTAAGCAGGGTTGAGCTTGGTTAGTACTTGGATGAGAGACCAATGGAAATATCAGGAACCACAGTGGACCGGCAGTGGCAAAATGGTTGTGTCCTTAGGCAAGACACTTCACCCACATTGCCTTGTATGAATGAATGTGGTGTGTGTGTGTTTTGGTGGTGGTCAGAGAGGCCAGTGTCGCAGATTGGCAGCTGTGGTTACAGAAATACTTTACCACCATCGACTGGAATGAATGAATAATGCATGAAATTTTAGCATCTGGAAAAGCACTGCATTGCAAATTTCTCAGATCTGGCCAAGACTGTAAAACTTATAGCAGGTTATTCATCTTGTTTTCAGATTTATTATCTGCTTACTAGTTCTGAGACGACTTAATTCTAGTCTAGACGTACTTTATTTTAAGATAACTTGTCAAGTAAAACTATCTTGCTGCGTGGACAGATAATTTCACAACTTTTAAGTCATTTTCTGATACATTTAAGTAGGGCTGGGCAATATGGAGCAAAAATATATATCTTGATATATATTTTGCTATATCTCGACATACGATATATATCTCGATATCTGTACAGGAAAAATAATCCCCCAAATCCACTGCAAATACAAATATGCCAAAATCCACAAGGTCTTTTTTTACCAAAGTGCAAAGAGGCAGTTCATGTAGGACATAAAAAAAAAAACCTGTGTACAAAAATAATAATTTAACTGTAAAATAAAGGAAGAAATAACACATATTGCCTTTTCTTTCAAAAATAAAACAACTCAACTCAAGCTCATGTTTGCATTAACTTTGTCAACTGCACAATAACCAGAACCGTGAGCTCCTTTAGCAGAGGACGCTCGGGAGGTTCCTTATTTTAATAGATCCATGCTCCAGCAGTAAGAAGCTATGAGGTATCCCACAATCCACTGCGCAGATCAAACTGAACGTTTCCAAACACTATTGTACAAGTTACACGGCAGCAGATTATTAATCAAAATCATAAATAAACTTTACATGACTAAACTTTACAACATATAAACCATAACGACTATAGAGCCACATCAGCCCGTTTGATATTATCATGTGTTTAATGCAGTTTTGTGCACATTTGTTTATGTTTTACAGAAACGAAACTTAAAAGCACATGGCTCATTTGCATAAACTCGCTCCTTGTGCCGGGCGAGTGGGGCGAGCACAGTAAAGTCAAACAAGTGAAGCAGGGAAATCAGAATTAAATATAAGCATTCTATCGATATATACAATATGTCAGAATCCATTTTATGTTTAAAGAATATCTCGATGTATTTTAAATATTGAGATATCGCCCACCCCTACATTTAAGCGTTTATATCTTAAATTTCGGCCAAGCTTTTTTGCAGTGTATATACAACTAATGGGTATTGCAGACATGTTAGGAAACGCAGATGACAATGGTTTCAGATTAATTTCAATTATCATGCTTGTGGATGGGTTGAAAATATTTATAGCACGGGGTCTCCAAACTGGAGTTCAGGAGCTAAGCCAAGGGATTTCTGAAGTCTATGTATTGTGCATAATAAATAAAATTTGATTAATTTCCAATGTAAACGTATTATTTTGAAGCCTAACTTGGTGCACTGATAAATGGATAATGGTTTCTCTTTTATAAGCACCTAACTTTTCCCCGTCTAAGGCTTGCTGTGGCGCCTATATTTATTCAGTTTCTCTATGACTTTGTGAAATTGGTAGCTCTCTGGCATTTTTGTTTTGTAAAGGTAGCTCACTGGAGAATAAAAGTTGGAGAGAGACCCCGGGTAAAGCACATCTATTCACAATTGCAATAAGACGGTAAACAGATTTTTCCCCAAACTCAAGCTGCAGTATCCATCTTAATCAGAGAATGTTCCTGCGTCTTGCCGTGGTACTGACCTGTCTCGGAGGTCGTCGAGGCAACGCTGTAGGTGGACCTCTCCCGCGGTCACCAGCACGTGCTCGCCGGTCTCCTGGATCAGCACCTCTGCGCACGGATCAGCCTGGTTCAACAGACGCATGCCCTGCACCAGCTTAGGCATCTCACCTAGAGACGAGAAAAGGGACTGAACATGCAGGGAGGGCAAAACTGGAGGAATATTCAAGTTCTTTGGGTTTTAAAGGTGCACTGTGGAACTTTTATTGCTTAATCAGGAATGTTTCACAGTATAGTTAATCATATCTAGTTGTTGTTGTTTTTTTTCTTTCCTTTTCAGCAAATTATTACTGAAAGAAATACACTGAAAACCACCAATTTTTACTGTGTGTGGGACCACTTCTCCACAGATCTGATTCGTAACTTGGGCTGATGCGTCACCTACTTGTCTTACTTCTTACTTGGGCATAGATAAGTTTAATAACATACTGTGGAACATTCCAAACAAAGTAATACGATCACCATGGAGACCAACAGGAAGCCGGACATTCACCAGAAAAGTCCCAAAGTTCACCTTTTATGTTTAAATTTAAAAAGTACAGTATGTTAAAATGAACACAATGCATATTTCAAAGTGAGAGAGGGATTACGTACTCGGATGTTTGGGCTCTATGGCGACCCGAACGATGGGCGTGGCCTCGAAGTTGAGTGGCGTGAAGGGAGGGCAGGCGGGAGAGGTGGACAGTGTGGCAGACTTCAACACAAACTCTTCTAGACCTCCAATACCTGGAAAGAAGAAAAGGATAATTAACACAAATAATCACTAAATCACACAAGAAATTATTTTACAAATACTTAAATGATCATGATCAGTCAAGTAAAATGTCAATATCAATCTAATAAAAAATGATGTATGAATGAAACAGTCTAAGGAAGGGTTGGGTTTAGTTTACTTTGGAAGCACAGACTGTATAGATACCGTATTTTTCAAACTATAAGGTGCACCGGATTATAAGGCGCAATATCAATAATGTTGAATTCTCTTGTCTATTTTCATTCATAAGGCACACCGGATTATAAGGCGCATTACGCAAAACAAATGGACGACAATTGAGACTGACACTTTAGCCCAGGCATTCACGATCCATTGGCAGATCGTGGCGTAATTCGCCCGGCGTTGGTTCTCTGTCTTGTGTATTATGAATGTGAATGTGGGTGGATAATTTATGTTTGATTTGTTTATTTCTTCCGAGGAGGACTAAAATATACATTGAGTAATAATGTGTTTAATGCAGCTTTGCGGACATTTCTTTACGTTTTACAGAAATGAAACTTAAAACAACATGGTTCATTTGCATAAACTATAACTGCTGAAAAAACTGCTTGCTCCCTGTGCTGCTGATGCAGTCAGCTTCTGTCGGACTAAAGGACACGACTCAGTAGTTCAGGACTTTATGTGTTCTTTCTGTGACAAGGCGATGGCGGCAGTGTGCGTTGAGTCAACACAGAACTACACTTTGCCCTTTACTCCATGCTGCTCCTGATAGCAGCCATAATGCTCCAAGAATCCATCAAGTGGTGCAGCTTCGTAGCTTACCAAAGTCATACTAAAACATTTTGAGTGCCATATACCACATAAAATCGGTTCAAGGTCAGTAAGCACAACCAGAATTAAAACATAAGGTGCACCGAATTATAAGGCGTACTGACGATGTTTGAGAAAATTAAAGGATTTCAAGTGCGCCTCATAGTCCGAAAAATACGAAAAAATGCTCTTCTTCTTCTCTCCCATTGACTTGCATTGGAATATTGTGGCCCCTCTCTCTACCTGCTGCAGTGAGCCTCGTCATTTTGGTCTTAAAACATTCATATTAACCCGCTCTACATGATCCTGGTGTCTTTTTTCCACTATGTTGTCTGTTTTAAAAAATCCTATTCATAACATAGACCCTGGCTCCAAATTCACCTGTTAGCGTGGCAAGCTTCATACTACGGGTGACGTCGCACTCGCTTAGTCCACTTCTTTATGGTTGGAAAGGTTGTTGCCATGGTAATGTGTATTGTCGACATGCTAATTCAAATTTAATGTGATGTGCAAAGGGACTCGGGTATAATGGGTGAGAGGAATGCAGTATATGCTCAAAGACCCATCTCCAGACCATGAGAGGTATTTTGCATTAGTGCATAGTCTTCGCAAGGACATCTCCAATTCACTGTTGACATGAGGAGAAGTTTATTTACCATCAGTTCGAGACCTGCTGAACCTGAACACTCATCGCTTCACATTAGTATTGACTATTTAAACCTGACTATTCTTCCACACACGGAGGTTTAAATAGGAACTAAGAAAGAGCTTCGAGACAAATTGGCTGAGATAGAATGAGAAGAGCAGAGCAAGTTGACCACGGAAACTGTTGATGTTAAAGGACAAATTCTGTAATAGTTTGATAATGCCAGAGCGAACCACAACCTTGCCAAGAGTATGTAAGAGATGCACAATTACACAACAGTCACTCAACAAGTACCTTGAAAGCTAATTCTGTCTACTGTACATGTTTTTAAAATATGCCACTTGAAACAAAAATACTCAAAATATCCAGTTGTTCTCAGACTATTCACACTTAGTACTACAAGATTAAAAATCGGGTCCATCAAAGACTAAATAGGAGTAAACCATGGATCTATTAAAATAACTGGGTAGGGTATTGCTGCTTGTTGCTGCCTCCAGTTGATGCAGTGGTCACTCACTGGTACGACAGTGGAAAAAATCCCCTGGGCTGGGACAGGATTTTTCTGACAGAGCGCAATGTAATCACAAACTGCTCGTGTTCGGTTGACAGGACACCTACAACTTTCAAAAAATGTTGGATTTTGTGGATTTTTACCTATTATTAGATCATAAACTTTTTCTCAGCTCAAAATGCTTCAGTCGTCTTTTCTTTCCCCGATTAATTAATGACCCCTCACCAAACTAAATAAATAAAAATAACATTATGAATTAATAAACACACACATACACATTCATACATATTCACTCACTCACATACACCCATCCACACATCAAAGGTAGGATACACATTATCTTGTTTCTTGTATTACCTGTGCCCATAACTCCTCAAATTCCTTCATTTTAAATTGCAGTCTTGCTGTGACTCTTTCCATTTCCATCACATCTTTAACCCTTTCCCACCAGTTTTCTTTAGTAGGAGGTTGTGGTTTTAGCCAGGACACAGTTATCATTTTTTTTGGTATTGTACTTAATATTGAAATAATTTTCCTATTTTTTGAAGATATAGTGGTTGGTACAATGCTCAATATAAATAATTGAAGATCTAAATTTAGTTTTTCTTTACAAATACTTTACCTTTTTTTTTTTTTTTACATTGATCCAATAGTCTCTGATTAAGGGACAGTCCCATAATATGTGTGTGTAGTCTCCTGTCTGACCACAACCCCTCCAGCATTTGTCAGATTTTGTACTGTATTTTGTTACCTTTGTTGGGACAATAAAATATTGCATCTTGGATTTCCATTCAAACTCTTTCCATGAAATACTGTTTAACATTTTATGTCCAAAAATGCTTCAGTTGTCTTAAAAAACACTTTATAATCGTTAACTTTAGCTCCTCTCGCTCTGATTGGTCAAAGCGATCACGTGATACACGAGACAGTGCTCTGTGCGTACGCTCGTGGGCATTGGCGTGTGCCCGTGGGAGCAAAGAGCACTACTGCACTGCTCATTTGGCCAAGAACCACCGGAAGTACCTCGCCAGGCCAAAGGCGAATCTGAAGTCATGCGCCATTGAGCTCGGCCCATTGACTTGAATGGGCGGCCATTTTTAGACACCTGGGCTCGGAGTAAACCTACAATCTGAAACTTGACAGGACTATGACTGCCAGGTGACCGACCCTCCACCAGAAGTTGCACGATGCACCTTTAAACCAGCAGGCGTGCAGCAGGGGCCGACAGTGTACAAAAGCATGTATGGACTGATAACTTCTTACAGTAGTAGTTTATTTTTATGTTTGTCTCTATGTTGCTGCTGAATTTCCTTCTGGATCAATAAAGTATCTATCTTTCTATCCATCTTTCTATCTATTTTATGTCCCTATGCCCCAAACGTGAAAGTCTCAATTCAATATCTTGTATTGTCCTATAACAGATTTCCGATTTGACATGTACCTTGGCTGCTATAATCCGTCATATTTACATTTGTTTAATACAGATGTTCATTAATGTGCATTGTCCCATTCAAATAAACAAATAAATAAAAGTTAAAATAGACGCATATGTCATTGCTCTACATAGAATGTTCCACAATATGACATTAAACAGCTCTACCTTTACATTTATTCAATTACAGGTGGTTTTATGGCTCAGAAATACCTAGAAAAAAAGGCAATCTGACTGTGAACCAGGTTGCCTCTCGTTCGCTCGACGGTAGGCAAGTGCTTTTTTTAATTTAACCAGTCGCTGCTATTTGGTCGTGATGTATGTAATGCGCCACTAAAGGGGTTAACTGGTATACTAAGCTTTTCCCAAATCTCGTACGAAGAAGGGCAATAACGTCTTTCCCCTTGATAAAATTCACCATACATTGTCTTTGTTCCGGCTTTAAATCCTCGATCTCGGGAATCTCTGTCAACACAGAATGTATGGCTCTTCGTCTACATCCATCTCGACCGCTTTGTTTACTGTTGTGCTGTACCACAAAAGGGGCCGACACAGTTGCTTGAGTTTGACGTCATGGCTTCACAGCTCTTCGCTGATTGGCCGGTGCACGGTCTACAACTTCCGGGGTTCTTGCAAACCGTCTAGTGTATTCTGATATCCTGACCTAGTCGCTGGAGAGAAATGAAACTGACCGGAGGCACTAGGTGGCGTCGGCCTGACTAATACTGTGCAACATTCCAGACAAAGGAATAACATCTCAATGGAGAGAAGCATTTGATGAACCCTAAACCAGAAAAGTTACACAATGATCCTTTAAGAAGCTCTAAACCAAATTTAAGTCAAATTAGGAAAAAAAAACAACAAACAATTAATAAAATTTTGCCTAAAGTAAAGTAAAACTAGAACTCCCCAAAATCCTACAAGAAGGAGCAGTTTAGGAACAACTGATATATATATTTCAGTTTACAGATTCATATCTTTTTGAATGTTTTACTGACTAACTTTTAAAAACTATCCACTCACTCCTCTATTCGTCTAAATATGTTTTGACATGCAGTAATTATCAGCAAAAGGACCACGTCTTATAGAGAGCCCCGGGAAGCTGCAATTTGTGAAAAAGTCCGGACCCCGCTGTGGGTGTTACGTGGGCAAGGTCCCACATTTCAAAACACAAATCTTCTAGCTGAGCCAAAACACACACAAGAGCAGAGGAGAACTGAGAATGACTTAAATAAATATGAGAAATATTGACAAAAGGGCCCAGGAGTTGCGTTCACACAGCTCCCATTTCAAGTCAAATCTGAACGTGGGTTGAAAACTGGCCTTGGTTAAGCACAGCATGTGTCCAGCGGTCTTTAACACTAATTATATTTACCTTTGGGTTATATTTGAGTGCGTTACACAAGAGCTGTCATTCATCTGATGAGAAGAACAATTCAAATGGAAAACACACAAAGCCTTCACAGCCCTCAGCGTGACTTCACATGCAATACCGTGGCATTTCTGACGTTTCTAAATTGCACTCTGTAAGAAGCAGAAAGTGAAATGCTCCCTGAGAACAAACAAGTGCAACATACACAAGGTTAGAACGTACTTACTGTCAATAACTTAT